GTTGAACTCCCAACCTCAGGTGATCCCCCTGCCTCTAGCCTCCCAAAGTGCTGGGATTATACCACACCCAGCCCAGAGTGTCTTCTTTATGAAGAAAACACACTTCAGAGCTACAGAACACTTCTTGACTCACTATTCTTTTGGAAAATAAAAAGTACCCTGGCCGGGCATGGTGACTCAGGCCTGTAATCCCAGCACTTTGGGAGACTGAGGCAGGCAGATCACTTGAGGCCAGGAATTCGAGATCAGCCTGGCCAACATGGCAAAACCCCTGCCTCTACCAAAAGTTACAAAAAATTAGGCAGGCTTGGTGGCATGCATATGTAGTCTCAGCTACTCCAGAGGCTGGGACACCAGAATGAGTTGAGCTGGGGATGCAGAGGTTACAGTGAGCTGAGATTCTGCCACTGCACTCCAGCCTAGGCTACAGAACAAGACTCTTATCTCAAGAAAAGAAAAAAAATTATATATATAGATATACATGCCAAGTCAAGGCAGTTTTCATCCCTTCTATAACCTGAATTGGGCTCTCCACTTTTACTAAAATTCCTTCTTCTGTCAAAGTTGTAAATGTATGGCCTAAATGATTGCAGGCCCAGATCTTAGGGACTAACTGAAGAACGTTATTTAAATGATCCTTTCTTCCTGGGAAAACATTTTTAAAATGTCATCCATTGACAAAAACATTGATAAAAAGGTGAGTAACTACAGATATCAGAAAACTATTTTCCATAAGAGAAAATCCCAAAATATAATTTAGTTTAAAAGTGGAAAGGCCAGGTGTGGGGTGGGAGGTTGGATCACACCTATAATCCCAGCACTTTGGAAGGCTGAGGTGAACGGATCACTTGAGCTCAGAAATTCAAGACCAGCTTGGGCAACATGGTGAATCCCGTCTCTACTAAAAATACAGAAATTAGCCAGGTGCAGTGCCATGTGCCTGTGGTTCCAGCTACTCGGGAGGCTGAGGCAGAATAGCTCAAACCCAGGAGGTGGAGGTTGCAATGAGTTGAGATCCTGCCACTGCACTCCAGCCTGGGCAACAGAGTGAGACACCATCTCAAAAAAGAAAAGGCTGCGCACAGTGGCTCACGCCTGTAATCCCAGGACTTTGGGAGGCAAAGACAGGCAGATCACGAGGCCAGGATATCAAGACCATCCTGGCCAACATAGTGAAACCCCGTCTCTATTAAAAATACAAAAAAATTAGCTGACATGGTGGTTTATGCCTGTAGTCCCAGCTACTCAGGAGGCTGAGGCAGGAGAAGTGCTTGAACCCAGGAGATGGTGATTGCAGTGAGCTGAGATTGTACCACTGCACTACAGCCTGGGCAACAGTGTGAGACTCCATCTCCAAAAAAAAAAAAAAAAAAGTTACCACAGACATTATATACTACCAATTTTCAAATAAAATAAAATATACTCTAAGCCTACGTTGTCCAACATGGTAGCCACTAACACTTGTAGCTATTTAGCGCTGGAAATGTGCTAGTATGAACTGACGTGTGCTGTAAAATCCAAACTGTCACCAGATTTATGCCAAATTTCAAACACTTAGTACCAAAAAATATATCGAATATCTCATTAGTGATGTTTTCATATTGATTACACATTAAAGTGATATTTTGGATATGCTGAGTTAATAAAAAATATTGTTAAAATTAATACTTTATCAACCTGTTTCATGTAGTTACCACAAAATTTAAAACTGCATTTGTGGCTTGCTTTAGATTTTATTGGACAGTGCTACTCTACACAAACTGAAAATACGATCCAACTTTCCTTTAATGATTCAGCATGATGAGGAATACCAAATACACAGTAAATTGAGGAAAATCTTATTTACACTTTGGATACACAGTTTAAGATACCACCACGTGGCTAACGCCCTTTTTGGCCTTAGCCCACCTGCACCCAGGTGAACTAAAAATTAAAATTTAAATTAAAAAAGAGAAAAAAAGATACTACCAAGTAAGAATGGCATTTCTGAAAACTCCTACTAAATTTATAACCAACTCCAACTGTGTTAACAGAAGAAGGACTCAGGCCCACAGGTAGTATTTTTAGAGATCATGAAGGAAATACAAAAGTAAAAGTCATAAAACAGAGTCTAAGAGAAATACCGTATGTTTCTAAAAGGCAAACAAAAGCAACGTGTTTTAAACAGATAACAACAATTAAAAAAAAAAACAGTATTTTATTGTTTTGAGAAATTTGAAGAAATGTCCCAACTGCCAGCTAAATAAACTTGTTAAAAAGGAAACCTGTTAAGGTAGGAACTCAAAACTCTAATTACGTGGAATAGAAGTAAAATGTCTGAATGAATCATATGGAAAATGTAAACCAAGTTTCTTAGCAGGATATTTATAATTAAGCATTATACAATGAAGCCAGCCAAAATTTTTCTAGATATACTTCAATGCCACCATAGTATCAATGCATCGATCCACTATTACAGGATTTAACTAAAACTACTTTCAAATTCTCAAACACCATAATGCCTTTCAAAATCTAGCCAGTGAGAATTTGGGAGGGAAGTTTCCTGCAACAGCTGGGGCTGCAAAAAATAAATAAATAAAAATAAGATAAATAAAAGGAGGGAAGTTTCCAAATGCCTTATTTACAGAGATGAAAATTAAAAATTAAAAATTAAAAGCCACATTAACAATATCTGCATGACAGTCTGTTCAGCAAGCACTTTTGGACACGTCATCCTATGTGATCCTCAAGACAGCTCTCAGATATTGGTATATTTTTATCCCTACTTTGGAGGCAATTCCAGGCTCAAAGACCTTGACTTGTTCAAGGTCACATAGCGAAAAAGTGGGAGAACCAGGGTTTGACCCCAGATCTTCTGATGTTCATCCCATTCTATTACAAGACACTTACTCATTTAAAACCAAATACTTAGAAACCCAACAAGCCTAATACTAAAGAAAGATCTAAGGATCAAGTAGAGCAAACCTTAAGACTTGGAAAACACTGAAAACCAGTTACAAAACATGCTGAAATGAGTTTGAAACGGGGAGAAGAGATTATCGAGAGAAAGGCAATGAAAGGGGGTGGAATCCAATCGAAACGTCCTTGGTTGCAGCATAGCAACATTCAAGTAGAAAATGCAGAGAAATTGTACTTTCCTGTGAAATGTGATTTGCAAACTAGTATTGTAGGTTAAAAAACGGATTGTGTGACTTTACTATAAACGTGTTTGAGCATTTTACCTACTCCATAGGCACTCAGAAAACCAGTGCCTCCCCAACTGGGGACGATCGGTGCCACGTTTTTTCTTAAGTCCTGATGCTTACCTCCCAAAAAGCCAATTTTTAAAAAATCAGAATTCGGCATCCCCTCCTATTTAGATCACAGGTAAAGGGAAGGGTCGGTGGGACGATGGCACATTTAATGGCCAATGTCTTTGCAGGCGAAAGCGTCCTTAAGGGCAGGACAAAGGCACCGCCACTACAAACGAGCCTCGTTCAACCTTCAGAACACGGAGAACAAACCAGCTGCAGGAAAACGAAGCAACACTGCGGACACGGGAAAAGGGGATTCCTAAGATGGCTCTCCAAATCCGTGCACTCGGCACCGTCCTCAGTCAACCGCGAAGGCCACGGGAACGCGGGTGCCGAGCGTGGGAACTGCGGGCGCGGGCGCCCACCCCGCCGACTCCCAGCGCGACCCCAGCACGTTCGATTCAGGCGGGTCACAGCCGCGCCACCCACGGGACCGGCCCCACCGTCCGACCGCGCGCCGGAGGGGACCGAGGGGGTGACCGGCTCCAAAAGCATCTGCTTCTCTCCCCGGCAGTCCCCGCGGCCCCGCGGCCGGGGAGGCCGAGCAGGAAGGGCCCGCAGGCGGCCCCCGCCCCGCGCTGACAGCCCGGCGCCGCCCCACCTGCCCGCCCGGGGGGCGCCGCGGCCGGGCGCGCCCGCCCAGCCACTTCCTTCCCCGCCCGCCCGGCCTCGCACCGGCCCGCGGGGGCTGGGAGCCGTGGGAGGAAGAAGGCTTGGCCGGCGGCCCGTGGAGGAAGCCACCGCCGCCCGCCCGCCCGCACCCACCGGCATCATCGCGGCGCGAGTCCGCGGCGCCCCCGGCCGCCGCCTGACAGGACGCTCCGCGCTGAGCTGTGCCCGCCGCTCCGGCCGCCTTCTAAGGCCGCGCGCCCGCCGCCCTGCTCTCCGACCTGGCCGCGGCGAGGCGGCGGCTGCGGGGCTTTCGCCGGCCCTGTCGCGGGCGCGGGCGCGCTGCGTCGCTGTCCCGGACACCCGGACACCCGGACACCCGGCCGCCGCCTCAGCCCCAGCCCCAGCCCTACCGCCTCTGGCCCGCCCTCCCTCTCGCTCTTCAGCCCCCGCAGGCCCCGCCCCCAGCGCGACGCCCCGCACGGGTCCCGTCGTTCCCTCTGATTGGCCGAGAGGGCGCGGGGCGGGGAAAGGGCGGGCCTTCCTGGCTCCGCCCGCCACCCTCGCTCTCGGCGGCGGCCAGGTGCGTGCGCGTCCGCGCTCCCGGCGGCGGGGGAGGGGCGGGCGCACTGTGGACTCCAGTGGCCGCCCCGCCCCTGCGTGAGCCCCGACTCCGGAAGACCGCGGACGCTGTGAGGACGGAGGCCGGACAGGAAAGGGTCGGGCCGGGTCCCGCTGCGGATCACGGCATGGCCGGGACTCGAACCTGGGCTCCTGGAGGTCGACAGTGGGCGGGGCGCGTCCCTGCGGCGACAGCGCGCGCCCGCGCTCTGACCGCGGCGTGACCCCCGGCTCCCGGCGCCCAGTGGGGCTGCGGCCTGGAGGCCGGTGGGAGGGGCGCGGGGGAGCCCCCCGGAGCGGGCACGTGACCCGGTGCCGCGCGCTCGGAACCAGCCCCGGCCCGGCGCCCTCGGTCGGCAGCTGCTTCCCCGCTGGCGTCTTCCGCGGCTCCCGGGGCCGCGTCCCCACCCCCACGCCGGGCTCCCAAGTCCTGGCCTTCGCCCGAGCGAGCTCACGCCTGCGCCCACCTGTGCTCACCTGCGCCAGCATCCCTCGCTGTCCAGCGTCCCCGGGCAGGGTCCGAACCCCGTCCCTAGAGCCCGGGTCTCCGGAGACCCCGCCCCCTCGGACCTGAGCGCCCAAGTGACAGAGCCCCGGGCAGGGCCCTGAGCAGACCCTCAGCAGAGGCTGCCAGGAGGGCAGGCAACCGTCCGGGGCCCCCCACATGGTGCCATTCGCCCGGACCCCGGCGGAGTGCAGAGCCGCGGGCCAAGGTGCTCCCCGCCGCAGCACCGAACCCCCACGGGCATGAGAAGGGCAGGTCTGCGGATGGCCCCAGACACAAGGCGTAAGCCGCCCTGGGGACAAGGCCGCCGCGGGGTCAGGGTCAGTCTGGAGCCTGCCTGGTTCTCGGAGAGGCTTCTGGCTGCTGCAGAGTGGGGGCAGAGCACGGGAGGAGGCCGGGGAGCTCCCACCAGCCCATTCCTGGGGAGCCACCCCTGTCCCTCAGAGGCCACTGGGGCTGGTGTTTGACAGTGCGGACTTTCCAGTTAGACGGACTGGGTTCAGCACCGCCTCTGTCACACCCTCGCCTGGGATCCTAAATAAGCCCCATCTTTTCTGCATTGTAGTGTGTTTGTATCTGTGATGGGAGAGTGTAGGGATGATAGTGCTTGCCTCGCGTCGGGAAGTGGGGGGGCTTGTTCGGATGCGAGGGATGGAAAACTCCCAGCACAACTTGTGGCACGTGGTAGCTGTTCCATAAATAGCATTCTGTAGTGGCGTGGTGATTAGCAAGCAGGTTTAGTATACAGAAGTCCCTGGGATGTTGAAACTTACCCACACCTGGGCATGAATGGCTAACGACACCCCTCATCTGGGAGCAGGGTTTGGAGAGAGGAGGAAGCCCTACATAATCTAGATAATGATCCGAGGCTGGGACTCAGAGACATACCTGAGTTCTAATTCTAGCTGCTCTGCTTCTGACCTCCTGTGGGGCCTTGGTTTCCCCAGCTTTGACAGCTGATGTCCCTTAGTTGCCAAGGGGTACTTCTGGCCCACGAAGCCTGACCAAAGACAGGTTTTGCCAAGGCTCTTCAGAGAGGTGACCCCCTGGGGTAAATGAGCCTGCTCTCCCAGGAAGGGGCATATTGGCACAAGGGCCTCCCTCTTTCCTGCAGGACCTGTGGGCACAGACAGTGGCAGCTACCCTGCCTCACACCGAAACCCCCCTGTATCCTCCAGGCAGGGGTCCATTTGAGGCAGACTGGTCAGCTCCCCCTCAAGGCCTTCCTGCTGGTCCCACTCCTCTCCACCCAGCCTGCCACCTCCAGGCATCGGCCCATCACCTCCCACCTGGACCAAGCTCATTTGTTACTCCATGCCCCTACCATTCCCCACAAGCTCCTGCCTTCCATCTTCGTGGAGCACACACAGCCCCACCCTGTAAAGCCCTTCTGCGTCTCCTCATTACCCAGACTGAAGTTCGCAAGAGGGCCATCAGGAATCGCCGTTTATGGTGGAGTGCAGTGGCTCACACCTGTAACCCTAGTACTTTGGGAGGCCAAGATGGGAGGATTGCTTGGGGCCAGGAGGTCAAAACCAGCCTGGTCAACATAGTGAGATTCCCCCATCTCTTAAAAAAAAAAAAATATATATATATATATCCGGGCACAGTGGCTCACACCTGTAATCCCAGCACTTTGGGAGGCTGAAGTGGATGGAACATGAGGTCAGGAGTTCAAGACAAGCCTGACCAATATGGTGAAACCCCATCTCTACTAAAAATATGAAAATTAGCCAGGCGTGGTGGCAAGTGCCTGTACTCCCAGCTACTCAGGAGGCTGAGGCAGGAGAATCGCTTGAGCCTGGGAGAGGGAGGTTGCAGTGGGCCAAGATCACACCACGTACTCCAGCCTAGGTGACAGAGCAAGACTCCCATCTCAAAAAAAGAGGGATATAGGCATTAGAGTTACGGAAGAACCCATTCATATTTTTCAGAGATGCATCCTAGCCTGTGTAAAGGGTCTGCAATTCATTTAAAAACAATTCAGCCAGAGGGAAAGAAAGTGAGGCAGGAATAGCTGAGACATACGCGGCAAATTCTTGATAACATTTGAACCTGGATGCTGGATATTTTGGGTTGCATTGTACTTTTATGTTTGAAATACATTGAAAATAATTAAAGGGGCTGGGCAGGGCGGCTCATGCTTGTAATCCCAGGACTTTGGGAGGCCAAGGTGGATGGATCACGAGGTCAGGAGTTGGAGATCAGCCTGGCCAACATTATGAAACCCCGTCTCTACTAACATACAAAATTAGCCGGGCATGGTGGCATACGCCTATAGTCCCAACTACTCGGGAGGCTGAGGCAGGATAATTGTTTGAACCTGGGAGATGGAGGTTGCAGTGGGCTGAGATCGCACCATTGCACTCCAACATGGGCTACAGACCAAGACTTCATCTCATAAATAAATAAATAAAAATTACAAGGCATAGGAGCTCACTTGTAGTCCTGGCTACTCAGGAGGCTGAAGCAACAGGTTCACTTGCGCCCAGGAGTTAGAGGCTGCAGTGAGCCAAGATCATGCCACTGCACTCCAGCCTGGGCAACATAAACCGTGCCTCAGGAAAAAAAAAAAAAAGATTAAAGGCTAGGCATGGCTGGGCATGGTGGCTCACTCCTATAATCCCAGCACTCTGGGAGGCTGAGGAGGGCATATTGCATGGTGGCACATGCCTGTAGTCCTAGCTGCTCACGAGGCTGAGGCAGGAGAATCACTTGAACCCAGGAGGCGGAGGTTACAGTGAGCCGAGATCAAGTCTCTACACTCTAGTCTGGGCAACACAGCGAGACTCCATCTCAAAAAAAAAAAAAAAAAAATTAGCTGGGCATGGTGGGGGGCACTTGTAATTTCAGCTTCTCAGGAATCTGAGGCAGGAAAATCTCAACCCTTGAAAGCAGAGGTTGCAGTGAGTTGAGATTGTGCTACTGCACCTCAGCCTTGACAACAGAGCGAGACTCTGTCTCAAAATAAAAATAAAAATAAAGGCTGGTCATGATTGCTCACGCCTGTAACCCCAACATTTTAGGAGGTCAAGACAGGAAGATCACTTGAGCCCAAGAGTTTGAGACCAATCTGGGCAACATAGCAAGACCTCCATCTCTATTTTAATTAAAAAAAATTAAATTAAAAAAAATTAAATACTCTTTAAAAACATTTTTAAAAATCCATTAGGAAGGAGATCAGAATATATTCATATTGGCACGAAGAAATTCTGGACAAATCCAGAGAACACTAATAAAGCGATATTTTTAAGAACACTAATAAAGCACACACATTGCATTGGGAACTGGGTAGATAAGGGTCAGAAATCAGGGTGAGGCTTTTCCCTATCACTTTTTTAAAGATAAACTTTATTAGGCTGGGCACAGTGGCTCACGCCTGTAATCCCAGCACTTTGGGAGGCCAAGGCAGGCAGATCACCTGAGGACAGGAGTTCAAGATCAGCCTGACCAACACAGTGAAACCCCATCTCTACTAAAGTCAAGCATGGTGGTGCATGCCTGTAATGCCAGCTACTTGGGAGGCTGAGGCAGTAGAATCACTTGAACCTAGAAGGCAGAGGTTGTGGTGAGCCAAGATCGTGCCACTGAACTCCAGCCTGGGCCACAAGAACAAAACTTCATCTCAAAAAAGTAATAAAAATAAACAAAGTTTTTTTTTTAGAACAGTTTTAGATTTAAAGAAAAATTGCAGAGTTTGAAATACAGAGTTCCCAGATACCCCTTTCCCCATCCAGTTTTTTCCCATTTTTTAACATCTTACATCAGTATAGAACATCTTTTACACTTAATAAACCGATATCTATACTTCAGTATCAACTCGGGTCCATACATTTTCTGTTTGCTGAGTTTGTAGGTAGTGTCCTTTGTTCAGAACGTCACATGATGTTTAGTCGTGTTCCTTAGGTTCCTCTTGGCTGTGACAGGTTCTCAGCTTTCCTTGATTTTTTCTTTTTTGTTGTTTTTTGTTTCTTTTTTTTTTTTGAGGGAGTTTCACTCTTGTTGCCCAGGCTGGAGTGCAGTGGTGCGATCTCTGCTCACCGCAACCTCCATTCCCAGGTTCAAGCCATTCTCCTGCCTTAGCCTCCCGAGTAGCTATGATTACAGGCATGCGCCACCACGCCCAACTAATTTTGTATTTTTATAGAGATGGGCTTTCTCCATTTTGGTCAGGCTGGTCTTGAACTCCCAAACTCACGTAATCCACGTGCCTCGGCCTCCCAAAGTACTGGGATTACAGGCCTGAGCCACCACGCTGGGCCTGCTTTCCTTGTGTTTTAGGCGTTGATACTTTTGAGTGCTCATCAGGTGTTTTGTAGACTGCCCATCAGTTGAAATGTATGTGCTGTTTTTCTCATGATTACACTGAGGTTATAGGTTTGCAGGAAAAAGGCCACAGAGGTACAGCACCATTCACGTCCAATTGTATCAAGGACACATATGGTCAGCACCACAGCACCGTTGATGGTGACCTTCATCTCTCAGCTGCTGTTGCATTTCATGTTAGATTTTTTTTCTTTTCTTTGAGATGGGGTTTTACTCTTGTCGCCCAGACTGGAGTGCAGTGGTATGATCTCAGCTCACTGCAGTCTCTGCCTCCCAGGTTCAAGCTATTCTTTTGACAGCCTCCCAAGTAGCTGGAATTACAGGCACCTGCCACCACACCCAGCTAATTTTTTGTATTATTATTTGAGACAGGGCTTCATCATATTGCCCAGGCTGGTCTCAAACTCCTGACCTCAGGTGATCCCTTGCCTCAGCCTCCCAAAGTTCAGGGATTTCAGGTGTGAGCCACTGTACCCAGCCTCATGTTTGATTTTTGAATCAGGTGACTCTATTACTAAATTACAATAATATTTTTAAAAACTTGGCCGGGCGTGGTGGCTCATGCCTGTAATCCCAGCACTTTGGGAGGCTGAGGTGGGTGGATCACGAGGTCAAGAGATCAAGACCATCCTGGCAAACATAGTGAAACCCCGTCTCTACTAAAATATAAAAATTAGCTGGATGTGGTGGCGCATCTGTAGTCCTAGCTACGGGAGGCTGAGGCAAAAGAATTACTTAAATCCGGGAGGCAGAGGTTGCAGTGAGCCAAGATCGCGCCACTGCACTCCAACCTGGTGACAGAGCGAGACTCTGCCTCAAATTAAATAAATAAATAAATAATAAAAAAATTTAAACTTGTTGGGCTCTTCCAAGGCCTCTTGCTGTGGCTGGCCGATGCCCGCCCTCTTGCGGACTCCTCCCGTGGTCTTTTGCTGTGTGTGGCCCTGCCTGGTGTCTCTCTTTTCATAGGTCATAGTCACATTGCATTAGCGCCCAGCCACAGGACTTCATTTCACCTAATTATGTCTCTGAAGACCCTACCTCCAGGCCCTTGTCCATCTACACCCCCTTGTCCATCTACACCCCCTGTGTTCGAGAAAGCACTCTGTGTGTCCCGCAGAAGTGCTGCCTTTTCCTTCAGAAAATCAAAGCCTGCTTTGTTTTGTTTTGTCTTGTTTGAGATGGAGTTTAGTTCTTGTTGCCCAGGCTGGAGTGCAGTGGTGCGATGTTGGCTCACCACAAGCTCCCCCTTACAGGTTCAAGTGATTCTCCTGCCTTAGCCCCCCGAGTAG